ACCTCGTCGGTGCCTTTATGAGTGACTTGTAGTTTATCCCATATTTCTTTGGCGGTTGTACAAGATGAAACTCTTCCATATTCATCTGGTCCAAGAGCACAAAATATAATATGGATGGCTTTGGAGTTGAGCTGGAACATTTTCGTCTCTCCTTCGCTCCACAATCTTGGATGAGTGGAGGCTTGATATATCCGTATTCTACAACATTCCATGCTCCCATGTCACTTGCTTGAATAAAATACATCATCCTATTCTTCCAATAGGCATAGTTAGCACCATTGAAGAAAGGAGGCTTGTTGACGGGCATTGAATCGAGACTGGAGTCGAAGTTTGAAGTAGAGGCCATTGATGACTTGATAATCGATGTAACTCTTCCCTAATCGACTCAAGAGGTGATTAAACCTTCAAATGAGTTAGGCTCTGATGTTAATTGTTGAGTTAATTGATCGACGAATATAGCCAAGAGGGGGTGAATTGGCAATAAAAATTTTGGTGGAAGCTTTTGCAAAAAATCGAAAAGATTTGCACATCGATTTAGAGTGGTTTGACTTTATCAACCAAAGTCTACGTCCACTACCTTAGCTATCCACACTAAGGATTTTCCACAAATTCACTAATTTGTCTTTCTTTTGAGGAAAAAGAGTAACCTTACAAATCCCTCAAGAATTATACCCCAAATTCTTGAGAACACTCTCTCCCAAGAGAACAATACAAATTTTGCAAACTTACAAGAAAATCCTCACAAGGAAAGATGTTTGCACAATTCTAGAACAAAGAAAAGAACACTTAAAGATGAATACAATTGAGTAAAAGTAGTGTTCTTGAAAGCAAATATGAATATTGAATGAAAAATGGATTGAATTGCTCAAACTTGAGGTTTGATACTTTCTCTTTGATTCTCTCTTGATTATTGATAAAATGTTATTGATCAAAGGCTTCTAAGCTTGTTTAAATACTCTTTGAATCACTTTTGAACGTTAGGGGATCATTAATGAAGTTATTAGAGCCGTTTAAATGTGAAAACAATTAATATTTCTGTTTGGAGCGTGGGGAGAATCGGTACCTCCTCATAGGGAATCGATTCCCTAAGTTTAAAATTCAAATATCTCGACCATTGAACAGGGGAATCAATACCCCTTAGGGGAATATATTCCCTCCGAGCATTCTATTTTTCTCGGAGCCAAACCATTCAGGGGGAATCGGTACCCCCTTGACAATCTGGAATTTTTTTGGCTTTGAAATGGTTCGAAATATTTTGTAAAATTGTTTTGAAATTATTTTAAGTTTAAAACTTAATTTTACACTTGAGTAAGGATTAAAAATGACATTTGAAAGATTTGGAGTAATATTTTGATATTCGACTAATTATATCGAATATACTTAGAAAATCTTTTGGAAAATCTTAAAATTTATTTATCTTAATTTGTTATATCGAAATATCAAAATGTTTTCAACACCATGGTTGACCTGTCTTTGTACATCACATTCTCATTGAAAATGACATCTCTGCTTATGATGATCTTACGATTTTCATAGTCCCAAAACCGGTAACCGAACTCATCACCACCATAACCAACAAAGACGCATTTGTTGGACTTGACATCAAGTTTACTTCTTTCAGCAGAATCTATGTGTACATAAGAAATACAACCAAACACTCTTAAGTGTGAAAGATTTATTTCTTTCTTGCTCCAAACTTCCTCTGGTATTCTGTCATCCAAAGAAACTGAGGGCCCACGGTTGATCAGGTAAGCTGCAATGTTGATAGCTTCAGCCCATAGAAATTTGGGTAATCCGACATGTATCCTCATGCTTCTGGCACGTTCATTCAGAGTTCTGTTCATGCGCTCTGCTACATCATTCTGATGCGGTGTCATAGGAACTGTTGTCTCCATCTTGATCACATTGTTTGCGCAGAAATCTCTGAATCTACAATTTTTGTACTCTCCTCCATTATCAGACCTCAACCGCTTGACTTTCAAACCAGTCTCATTTTCCACCATGACCTTCCATTTTCTGAAGGTATCAAAGACTTCTGATTTCTTCTTCAGAAAATAAACCCACACCTTCCTTGTAGAATCATCGATGAAGGTGACATAATATAATGAGCCTGCAAGAGATGGAACTGGAGATGGTCCCCATACATCAGTATGAACCAACTCTAACTTTTCAGCCTTAGGTGTCTTGCCAATCTTTGCAAAACTCACTTTCTTTTGTTTTCCAAAGATGCAATCCTCGCATAGTCTGACATCTACATTCTTTAGATCCGGCAGCTTCCCTTTTGACAAAAGTGTCTTCATCCCTTTCTCGCTCATATGACCAAGCCTTTGGTGTCATAGGTTTAATTTTCCATCAGCATCTGCTGCTGCAATGATATTCTCTAAATTTGATGTTACGTAGAGAGTATCAGTCTTCTTACCACGAGCAATGACGAGTGCTCCTTTGGTAATCTTCCATTCACAGCCTGAAAATGTTGTGTTATATCCTTCTCCATCAAAGCTATCCTACAGAAATCAAATTTCTTTTGAGGCTAGGAATATGTCTCACTCCCTTCAGCGTCCATTCACAGCCTGAAAAGGTTGTGTTATATCCTTCTACATCAAAGCTATCCTACAAAAATCAAATCTCTTTTGAGGCTAGGAATATGTCTCACTCCCTTCAGCGTCCAGGTGGTCTGGTTTGGCAACTTTAATCAGATGTCTCCTTTCCCGACAATCTTCAAGGTTTCATCATCAGCTAGATGAACCTTCCCAAAATCACCAATGACATAGTTCTCCATGATTTCTCAGCATGGGGTGGAGTGGAAAGATGCCCCTGAATCCAAGATCCATGATTCAATCGGACTGTTGACGCTTAGAATCATGGCATCACCTGTCTCCTCTATCACGTTGGCAGATTCCTGTGCGCCGATATTTTTCTTCGATGCTCGACAATCTCTTTTAAAGTGACCATTCTTGCCACAGTTATAACAGGTAAAATCTTTCTTTCTTGTTCTTGATTTGCCCCTTCTGGATTTCGATCTGCCACGATTTGAATTTCTTTCTGAAGTTCTCCCTCTAGACTCCGTGTGCAATACTGATGAGGTTGATGCTTCACCCGATTCTCTCCATCGAATTTCTTCGCTCAATACCAGATCCCAAACATCGTCGAATTTTAATTTGTTGTTTCCCAACGAGCTGTTGACTGCTATAACAATAGCATTCCAACTGTCTGGTAGAGATGATAAGAGAATTAAAGCTCGAACTTCATCATCGAATTCAATTTTCACTGAACTCAACTGGGTTATGATTGTGTTGAGTTCATTTAGGTGTTGTGCCATCGATGCCCCTTCCGTCATCCGCAAATTGAATAATCGCCTCATCAAGTGCACTTTGTTTTATGCGGATGGCTTCTCATACATACTGGAGAAAGCCGCCATAAGAGCCGTCGTGGTATTTTCCTTTGCTATGTTGAAAGCAACATTGCGGGATAACGTCAGTCGGATAACTCTGAAGGCTTATCTGTCGAGAAGAGTCCATTCTTCATTCTTCATGCCCTCTGGTTGTTTTCCTGAGAGAGGTTGATATAGATTTTTTTGGTACAGAAAATCTTCAATCTGCATCTTCCAAAAGCCAAAGTCCGCACCATCGAACTTCTCAATTTTCACATTCCCTTCGTCTGCAGCCATCGCTCCCACTCGAATATGGCTTCATTTGGATCATTTCTGACAATTCTTGCGAACCACTGTGTATTAGAACAACTATGTCGACAAATTCGTATCACCGACAAAATTTCACTATTCACGAAATTCACTATTCACATGAATAGTAATGAATAGTAACCTCACAAAAAATTGACAATAATTCACAACCAAAAGCTTTGATTACCAGTTGTTAGGAAATAAAACGAGAACGAGTAATTTCCGTATAACCAGATTAGTGAGAATGCGAAATAAAAGCGGAAAAATAATACCCGAAATTGATAACGGAGTTCAGCCAATTTTGCTTACGTCTCCGAACTGCTGCAGATCTTTTACTAGGTGAGAAAATTTACAGGTGTTTACAAAACACTCACTACTCACAAGAAAACTCTCTAGTATTGGGAGAAAGAAATGATTTGGGATTTTGGGATGATTTTGAAGCTAAATAGGCTAAGATATTTATAATTGAAGCTTAAGGGCTAATCTTATAAGTACCCTAAAGTTCAATAACTCAATTTTATAATTATTCCTATTATAAAATAATAATAAAAATTAGCATCCCCACTTATTTTTGCAGCCGCAGGCTGCTTGAAGAAATTTCAACAGTTATACCCCTCCTAATTAGATATACTTCAATTTCAATACATATAATTTTATTAAAATTTAAAACTTTGACAAATAATTTTATTAAAATTTAAAACTTCAACAAATAATTATGGCCGCAGCAGTTCGTCTATCCAAAACTCGTTGTCCAATTGACTTCAGTCCGGCTTTCAAAGCTGATAAAGACACATAGTATTAGCTTTCAAAAGACGACAATTTAATAAATAATTTTACCACTATGATTATATATTGTCACTTCGCTTGGCTATTGTATCATAATCGTTTCCAGAAACTACTGCTATTGCGGTACAATCATTATCTACTACGATTAGATGTGTTAACAGTGATAATCAGCAGTGTATTTTTTAAAAAAATATTAAAATATTATATATTTTATTAATATTTTGTTTTTGTTTTTAAAATTTATGAAATATATTCTCTTTTATAATTTAAAATTTTCACTTTCTTAATATAAAATATTTTTTAATTAAAATGGCAAAGAAATCTTTATTGAAAGAAAAAAATTATTTTTGAACGAAAACCAGATGTGTCCCACTATCACCTAAGGAACTAAATAATAAATGCAATAAAGAAAAGGAAATTGAAACAAAAATCAAACAACAAAAGGAAAAGTAATATAACATCATTATTTCAGTAGATAAAATTACAAGGAAAATTGTAAAAAAGAAAATCTCAAACTTGAATGTCAACTTGTTCCTCTTCACTCAAACTTCTTTTCAGTTATTATTATTACTATTTTGTAACAGACTGATCTCCTCTTGACTGTCAATATCACCACCCCATTTCTTTATCCTTGCCTCTGCAATCGAAGCCTGCAATAACATATATACATAATTTTATATATAATTCAAGTTTTATACTCCAACTTTTACGATTTAGTACATGTATATATACATTAACAAATTTAAAAATATTTTTCAATGTTAGTATATACATTAATAATATAATTTTTTTGTAAAGGATGAACACATATAAAATTTTTATGATATATGTCATCATTAAAATAAACAATTAATATAAAAAATCGATTTTTAAAGTTGTCTTGGACAATACTTGTATCCTCCATTGAATACATGAGTAGAAAATGATAGATTTTTTTTTTCTTACCTCTTTATTCCAGTTGGTTTTGTAAATCATTCCAAATAGTACACAAGTTTGTAAAACTGTTCCTACTAACATCCCACACCAAATTCCCTGCAAACAGAAGGTTAAATAAAATTAAAAGCAGCAATTGAACTTTGTTTGTGCTTAGAATGAGAAAATACATACCTTGACACCCATTTGAAGTACGAACCCTAATATGAGACCCAAAGGAACCCCAAAGAGATAGTAACATGCAATGTTCACATACGCAACGACACTTTGCCATCCAGCCCCAATGGCCATGCCTATATAATAATAATAATTAAACCATGCATTTAAATATAAAATGTTTATATAAAAAATAATTTAAACAATAAAAATGGATTATGAGTGTCAAAACTCGATATTAAACCTGAAAGAACGGGTTGAACATTGTTGATGATGATGCAAAGGGCTAATAGTGGAGTGAGTTGTATAACGAGTTGTTGGACGTGTGAGTCATTTGAAAACAAGTAGGGATAGTGATTCCTAAAGATGATGAGAACAAGGGAGATTATAACACCGATCATAAATGAAGATGTCACTGCCACCACCAATGAAAATTTAGCTGTTCTTGGATGCCCTGCTCCCAATTCATTTGAAACCCTCACACTGCCACATTCGTTCATAAAGTTAATGTCTACCATAATTATTGATTAATTAAGATTAGTATGCTTAGGGTTTCGATATTACCTTATAGCTGCATTCATCCCTATAGATACCATGACCGTCCATCCCAGTATGTTCATACTGCAAAATTCAGCATTCCAGACTTCTTAATTCTAATAATATATGAAAATATAAGATGAGAAGAATCGCATGTGATTCATGTGTAGATATGTCCATGCCATTGTCTGCATAACATAATTGCAAATGTTGTCGAAATTCAATGTTATTTTCTAACAAATTAACTGTGGAAAACAGTAACAGGTTTCAAAGCGACACAACGTCTAAAATAAATGGATTAATACAAAAAAATCCCAAACTATACTATTTTTATCAAAAAAATTTATTTAGCCACCCAAATAGAAAAAAAAGTCTAGTTTAGATTTTTATATATATTAAGCTAAAATAAATATATTGTTAAATATCGTACAGATTACAGAACGAAATTTAGTACACGCATGTGAGTGCATGTGCATATGTCATTGCTAGTATGACATAAATGCCCGCGTCAAACATTGTCCTAATCGAGGTCTGAATCTAACGCCTTTATAACAATCTTTACGAGTTTAAATATAGTAAATTATGAGGACTGAAGTGATCAATTTGAAAACTTTGTATAAGTAATCATGAATCACGTGCTTGACAGCAAAAAAACAACAAGCACGATAATCAAGAAGTGGTTAAAAAGGTCACTCACCAGATGGATAAAGCATCCACTGATACCTCGGCGTCCTTTAGGTATCCAGCAAACAATATCAATGCCATGAAATACCATATCTCCAAACTGTAAATATTTGCAAAAAAAAAATATTAAATCAAAATGAATATAATTTAAATTTTAATTGAAAACAAGTTGATGAAAAATTGTTGTACTAGACTTACCATAGCATTATTGCTGAAGCTAAAGACAGCCTAACAAATCCCCATAAATGCTGAAATGCCTTCCAGGAGAACCCGGTCCAAGCTCGACCACAAGTGCCGCTAATAATGTACAAAAACTGAGCCACGTCAATGAAAATCCACGACGTATTCAAAACAATGGCTGCACCCACCAGGCCCCATCCCAGCTTCAACATCAAGACCCAGCTCAATACAACGTGAATAACCAAGGCCAAACCGGCTATCACTGCCATCACCATCATCTTGCTCTGCGCCTGTAAGAACTTCGCCATCGGGAAATTAAATGCGTAAGCAAACAGTTGCGGTATCATCCATATCGAGAAGATTCCGGCAGCCTTCGATATGCTTTCCGTTTGGCCTATTAGCCTCAAAATCGGAGCCGCGAATATGTACAACAAGCTTAGGAGCAAAGCGGTTGAGTTGAGGATAACCCACGATCTTTGCATGTATACCCCTAGCATATCAAGCTGCCCCGCTCCAAATGCTTGGCCGCATAGAGTTTCCAGTGCACTTCCCATGCCAAGCTATTTAAGTTTAATCAAGTATTTTAAGTAGTGTTATTTGTAACCAAGTAACTAAAAGAGAACTTTACCAAATAACAAGGGAAAATTAATTAATTTACAGACTTACCATGGCACCGAAAGAGAAACCGGCGATAACGGAGTTCTCGACGGAGACGGCGGCTAGAGCCAGAGTGCCAACTTGTCCGGAAAAGACTTGAGTGATGGCTCCGAGGGAGTATTGGCAGATGGAGGTGAAAATAGCGGGGCCAGCAAGGAACCAGAGCTTCTTGGACTCAACCAGGTATTCTCTGAAGAAGTCACGGACGCCGTTGGTCGGTAGGATGTCATCGGTACCGGGGGTGAAGGTTGCCGACGAGAAGGAGCGGTTTGAGGGTTTAGAAAGTAACTGCTCCTGGTGGCGGTTCTCCTCGCCGTCTAGTCGAGGTGAAAGAAGCGATTGCTTAGCGTCATCCATACTGGACGACAACAACAGATCAATTACGATTTTCAAGGCAACAGGCCTTAGGTATATAGACGATATGTTTTAATAGAAGGCGGCTTTGGCCTTTGTGTGAAAATTTGTATGATTTGCAACATTCTGTATGGAATATGGTCCAAAATTAGTTATACATGGTGATAAAATAAAATAGTCATACATTACGTAGTAAAATTTGGCTCGTCTTTAATATGCATTATTATTTATAAATTTATAAACGGTCTATTTTAAATTTCCGAATTTCAATAATAAAAAGTCGATTAACTTTGCTCAAAATCTCACTTTTGGAAAAATCCATTCTATATAGAATCGGCGTGAAACATAATAAGTTCAAAAGATTGATTAAAAGATTTTCTTTAAAAGAAAAGATTGATTAAGATTTTATAATATGTAGTTGTTGAAATATATTTTAAAAAATAAAATCCGTTCCAACAAACCACTTGCATTTGATTAACAGATTAAAAACGACATTCTCGATTGTCAAGATTTTGATAATCTTTATATTTATTTATTTATGTATTGTTAAAGGTATTAAATAATTGTATAAACTTTAAAATATTAATTATTTATTTTAGTCATTTTCAACGTTATATTAACAAAACCAATTTGTGGTCCTCTTTCATAAATAACAAAAAGGACAGAATAAATTATTGGTTGTGATGAAACTCCCAATAGGAAAATTATAGACACTGATTTTATACTCATCTTCCATAAATAAATAAATAAAATAAAATAGAATTATTGGATGTAGTGAAACTCTCAACAGAAAAATTTATAGACACTCATTTTTGTCCAATAACTTCAAGTCTCTCTAAATTCAGATACAGATTTAATTCAAACACGGATCTTAGTCAAAATTCAAAACAATACAAACTATTCCAAATCACCAAAAAAAAAACCTCAATCGGGTCAATCCTAGGCCCAAATCAACAAATTTATTTGAAGCCTGAACTAGCCCACATATAACTTGAGTCCATGTTACGCTTCACCTACTAACCATGTCAATCTATCACAGGCCACAAGTCAAATTGATGTCAATTTGGGGTTTAATCTCTTATCTTGTAAATATTATAAGGAAGTGGATACATTAATCTAGTAAGATGAAGTTATAAATTTCAAAGAAAAATGAATCTTTTTGACATTTAATTTTGTTGAAGAGGTCAAATTGATGTCATTATCATACCATAATGAAAAATAAATTTCAGTCCACTAACAAGTTTTGGTTGCAAAGATAATCTCATAAACATTTTCATGGATATGCACCAACTCGTTCCTCCTATTATCAATATTCAATTCTCAGTTTCATACATAATGTTTAATTTTTTTTATTGTATACATGATGTTTTTAACTATTAACGGGTTCACCCATTTCCGTCACGGAATGTGATATGACACTTAAAAAATATTTTTTAAGTGTCACATGGCATTTTGTCAGGGTTTCACGTCACCTTCAGTTACGGAAATAGGAAAAACCCGTTAAAGGTAAAAAACACCATGTATGAAATCGAGAATCTTTAAACATTATGTATGAAATTGAGAATTGGATATACTTCATGTATGAATTGAGTAATTAACCCTTATTATTATTATTATTATTATTATTATTATTATTATTATTATTATTATTATTATTATTATTTTGTAACAGATTCCCCTTCTTGATTGTCAATGTCAACTCCCCATTGTTTTATCCTCTCCCCTGCCATCAAAGCCTGCAATAATACACATATTTATATATAATTCAAGTTTGAAACAATATATATATATATATATATATATATATATATATATATATATATATATATATATATATATATATATATATATATATATATATATATATATATATATATGTTTGAACAGAAAATTATTGATTATATTTTTTTCTTACCTCTTTGCTCCAATTGGTTTTGTAAATCATTCCAATTAGTACAAAAGTTTGCGCGATTGTCCCTAATAACATCCCACACCAAATTCCCTGACAACAAAGGGTTCAATTCATAAAATTGAAAGAAGCAATTCAATTCTAATTGTGTTTAGAATCTTATAAAATCTCATACTCTCTACGAATCCATTTACCAATTAACACATCTGCATGTAATAATAATCTTATCTTTGATTTTCAAAATTTGATTTTACATAAATTTCTATCACTAAATTTGATTACAAATACCGATAGATCTAGATTATATACAATGAGGACAAGTGTCCATTCTAAAATTTGAATTTACTTTTTTTAATTATATTTATTGATTGTATCCATCTTGAGATTTATTTGTGTCTAATCACGTATAAAAATGTTGTGTTGTTAATATACGTATTCCCTCGTAAATAGTTCTAGATCCTTCCCTGATTACGAACTTTGATAATATAACAATAAGGAGACAACACGAGTAGATACATACCTTAACACCCATTTGAAGTACGAAACCTAATATGAGACCCAAAGGAACTCCAAAGACATAGTAGCATGCAATATTTACGTAGGCAACAACAGCTTGCCACCCAGCTCCAATGGCCATTCCTGTATAATAAGAAATGATAATTAAAGCATGCATTCAAATGGTCATATATTATGGGTTTCTTATTATAATAAAATGAATTATAAGCGTTCAAATTCGAACTTGAACCTGATAGGACGGGTTGAATATTGTTAACGATGATACAAAGGACCAAGAGTGGGGTGAGGTCTATAATGCGATGATGAACTTGCGGGTCATTGGAAAAGAAAGATGGATAATCATTTCTAAAGATGATGAGAATAAGGGAGATTATGACACCGATCATAAATGAAGATGTTGTGGCCACCACCACTGAAAATTTAGCTGTTCTTGGATGCCCTGCTCCCAGTTCATTTGAAACCCTCACACTGCCATTCATCAAAATATCCATAAAAACCAATGTATATTGATTTTATAAACAAACTAGGATTACTATTCTTATAGTTTCAATATTACCTTATAGCTGCATTCATCCCGAAAGATGCCATGACCGTCCATCCCAGTATGTTCATGCTACAAAATTCAGCAATCCATAATTCTTCATTCTTATAAAATGTTGTTAATTCAAACTTAAAATTCACCCAATATTTTAAGTCAGGTCAAACACTATCTCTTATCTTTAATACGCCCCCACGAGATGTAACATTTATCGGAGACGAAGGAGTTCTAAAGCATCGAATAGATTATGAATCTGCCTTCAGATAATTATTAATACAAGCATCATTTTGAAATGCCATAAAATTATTGCTACGATATTATATTGCTACTGCTACATAGTAAATTATGAGTACTGGCTGCATCAATTTGAAAGTTTCGTTTAGATAATCATCAATCACATGGTTTAAAAAATAAGCAGCAATTAAAATGATTACCCACCAAATAGCCAATGCACCCACAGATACTTCAGCATCCTCTAGGTATCCAGCGAACAAAATCAATGCCATAAAATACCATACCTCCAAACTGCAATTGATTTATACACTTCTTCTTAAATTAATTCAAATATTTTTATTGACTAAATATAATTATTCAAGTGCGTAATAAATAAATATAAAATAATATCACATTGAATAAACATAATTGTTCTAAAATTCACCAATGAAAATTCGCGTTCAATAAAAAAACTAACAAACAAACAAAAATGACCAAATCTTTAATATTACATAATAACAGATTTATCACTATTTTTTTAACGACACATCATACATGACTCAAAATTAATCATTTATAATGTTAATTTTAGTTATCTCATATATCGGGGATTAAACAAAGGTTAAATTTTATTATTTGTATTTGTATTATGTAATATTATGAAATAAGTCTATGTGCATTAGCTTTTTTTTTAGTCTTAATCATTTTTAAATTTTATAATTTCAGTGTTGAATCAAACTGTAATCGTTAAATTTATTAAGACAAATTTCGTTATTTTGAAGAAAACAATTGTGCAGCAAACATATTATTACATGTGTGATGCTATGGCAGTTTGTTATTTTCACATATTAGTCACAAAAATTTTATATTATTTTATTTAGAGTTAATTGTATCATATGTAATCAAAGTATGATCCTAATTTTAAATTGGCCTCTAAAATTTTAATGTTTCAATTTTATCCCTAAGCTATAAATATTATTTTAAATTAGTCCTCAAACTTTTGAACATTTCAATTTCATCCCAAAACTATGACCTTCATTATAAACTGGTCCCCAAACTTTTTAAACATTCCAATTTTATCCAAAACTAAATGTATATGTTAATCACATCCCTTACTAATAAAATCGTTAGGCCAAGTGATATTATTATATGTTTGAAAAAAACTTTAGATTAAACTATGGTTGAAACTAATTACATATTTGGATGCATTTGAGGATGAAATTGGATGATTCAAAAGTTTGGGGACCAATTTAGAAAGAGGGTCATAGTTTCGGGATGCAATTGAAATATTTAAAAGTTTAAGGACTAATTTCAAAATGAAGGTTATAGGTTGTTGAAATATGATGCAATTAACTCTTTTATTTAATAAAATTTAACGTAGGACTGTAACTTTAAAATTCAAAACATATAATGATTAAAAATAATCAAATTGAAAGGTAAAGACTAAATGTAGTTCATTTTAGATTTTTCCCTCAACTATATATGAACCCTAACAAGTGTTATACTAGACTTACCATATCATTACTGCTGAAGCTAAAGACAATCTAACAAATCCCCATAAATGCTGAAACGCCTTCCAGGAGAACCCGGTCCAAGCCCGACCACAAGTGCCGCTAATTATGTACAAGAACTGACCCACGTCTATGAAAATCCACGACATATTCAAAACAATGGCTGCACCCACCAGCCCCCATCCCAGCTTCAGCATCAAGACCCAACTCAATACAACGTGCACAACCAACGCCACACCAGATATCACTGCCATCGCCACCATCTTGCTCTGCGCCTGTAAGAACTTCGCCATCGTAAAGTTAAACGCATAAGCAAACAGTTCCGGTATCATCCATATCGAGAAGATTCCGGCGGCCTTCGATATGCTTTCCGTTTGGCCTATTAGCCTCAAAATCGGAGCCGCGAATATGTATAACAAGCTTAGGAGCAAAGCGGTTGAGTTGAGGATGATCCATGATCTTTGCATGTATACCCCTAGCATATCAAGCTGCCCCGCTCCAAATGCTTGGCCGCATAGAGTTTCCACTGCACTTCCCATGCCAAGCTATTTAAGTTTAATCAAGTATTATTAGTATCTAATTTAAGTAACCAAATCAAAACTGTTAACCATGGAAATTTAATTCATTAACAGATTTACCATGATGCCAAAGGAGAAACCGGCGATGACGGTATTCTGGACGGAGACGGCGGCGAGAGTCAGAGTGCCAACATGTCCGGCAAAGACTTGAGTGATGGATCCGAAGGAGTATTGGCAGATGATGGTGAAGATGGCGGGGGCAGCAAGGGACCAGAGCTTCTTGGACTCAGTCAGGTACTCTCTGAAGAAGTCACGGACGCCGTCGATAGGTGGGATGTCTTCGTTGGTGGCGGTGAAGATGTTGGACGAGATGGAGCGATTCTCCTGGGCGCGGCTTCCCTCGCCAACTGGCTGATGAGGGGAAAGAAGCGATTGCTTAGCGTCCTCCATTGGAGACGATAAAAGGCAATGAATTATGATTATCAAGATAACAGTCCAAGATATATAGACGTTATGTTTTAACATAATATGGTATTGGGGAAGGATAATATATAAATAATTTTAAAAGTAAACGTATATTAGGGTAAAGTATACAAATGATTCTTTATTATATGGTAATGCTTTTTTTAGTTCCTAGACTATTGAAAATTACAAAATGGTCTTTCGATTATAGGACGTTACTTTGTTGAGTTTCTCTGCTATTAAAATTTATAAAATTGTCAATTGACTATTCATATGATCCAAACTCATTATTTTTCGTTAAAAAATTGACGGTTGTTTGAAATGGACATTAATACATTGACTTGGATATGATAAAATTTGATCACATAATTGTTTAAGGTTGTATTTAGTGGACCGACTCATCGTTTATATTATGTCATTGTACCAATGCTTGAAATATTATAACATTGAGTCAGTGTTTGAAAGAAACAACGGTGCCATTAGACATCATTAAAATATGATTTTATCATATCTCAGTCAGCAGGTTAAGGTCAAGCTCAGACGAACGTCAATTTTTTAACAGAAAATTACGAGTTTGAAACATATGAATAGTCGTGTGACCGTTTTGTTACTTTAATAGTCAATTAACTCAACAAAACAACACCCTATAGTCGAAAGACTATTTTACAACTTTTAATAGTTGAGACTCAACAAAACAGCACTTTATAATCGAGACTCAACAAAACAACACTTTATAGTCGATTGACTATTTGTATACTTACTATATATATTTAGATTTTTAAGATTGACTTTTAGCCACTCTCACGTTTTAATAAATCCACCTCTAGTGGAGTTTTTATGATATAATACTTCATTATGATTCAAGATTAGGTATACTTTAGGTAATAAAATTTAGTTTCGTGTTTAGTATATCGTTATTTTATAAATTAGAGGGTAACAACGACAATAATACAAATAATAAATTACAAATGTCAACTTCATTCAAGATTTTTAAGATTTGATGACCTTTATATTTATTTATTTATTATTAAAGGTATTAGATTTATATAAAATTTAAAATATTAGTAACTATTCTAAGAGATATTATTGGTTGTAGCGAAAGTATCATTCAAAAGTCAGATAGGATCGAAAATGACCCAACACAATTGTATTCTATATCTTTTCTGTAAAAATCATGTCTATAAATGAAAAATTAATTATACTGTATGATTTGATTCAATGACCATATTTGTTAAGGTTTAAATACGTTAGGATCCTATACTGTTTGAATATTTAAAACTTAGTCCTCGTGTTATAATTTTATGACATTGAATCTACATATTTTATTTTAATTTGAAAATCTTGGTTCGATATTGATTTTCATCAAATGTTTCCATGAAAAGGTAAAATAATCTTTTCAATCCTTCATATTTATAATTTTATCCTTAGTATTTAAAAATCTATAAAATATCATAAATTAAAAAAAAATTATATATAGGGAAATATCGTGTTACACAATGTAAAACTATTTTAATTTTACACAGATTTAAGACTGTTAGATGAATAAAAATAGATAGTTGAGATTATAGTAATTACTATAAGAAATGAGAAGATATTCACTGGGGAAAAAATAGCCAATCTTACACATCTATTTTTACTCATCCAATTGTCCTAAATATGTGTAAGACTAAAGTGTTTTACATTGTATAAGTGGATGTTAACCCATATATATATATATATATATATATATATCTGAAAATCAATAACAAAAAAAAATCTTTAAACAACCACTAAATATTTCTTCCTGAAATCACTAGGCTCGGGGATTTTAAAGTTTTGTTATAATTAATAATTTAATCCTAATAAGGTAATTTATGATGTTATAAGTTCTCATGCCTCGTAGGGATTCTCAATATCATTTTTTACCAAATAACGCATCTGCAGCTGTAGTTGTTGATAATGTAGAGAGAATCTCACACAGAGTAATTTGTGTAACCCATAACTAAGCTTACAAGGATAAGAAGAGATATTCTTATAAGGTACGATTTTGTGAGATATTTAATACAAAACAATATACTTTTTGAAGTATGTGACTCTCTGTAACATCCTCAATACCGGGTTAGTGATTAAATTGTAAGGTTTCAAAATTTGGTGATTTAAATTAGAATAATTGAGTGGTTTAAAGACTTATATGAGAAATGAGGGGTAAGATCAAATTGAAAAGAATGAGGAATGAAAGGATAGTATGGTCATTTGTAAAGAAAAGAAAAATATAATAATAATATATGGTATATATAGATATACGTGGAAGGAAGGAAACAAAGTTTAGAGGTTTCCAGAGTTCCCTTCTTTTTCTTCTTCTTCTTCACGTGTGAAGCCAAGCAAAGGTGAGTTTTCTCTTGAGTTGATTATGTGCTGAAATTTAAGTTTAGTTTTGATTATTAGATGCTAAGTAAGATTAAGGAAAGATTAATTTGCTTTAAAACAACAAAATGAAGAGTTTATGAGGATTTAAAGATTTGAAGTTTTTGAATGAAATATCGAAATAAAGTTTATATTGAGAATTGGAAGTTGAATTTGACTTGTCATCAAGTTAATTAAGGGATAGGAAGTGTTAGAATAGGAATTTGAACATGTTGCAAAACTAGTATAATTTTTGCAATTACATAGGAATGACTAGATTTGAAGTTAAAGAAGTGATTATGGAATAGAAATAAGTTTAAGTATGTGTATTAAAGTTAGGAGTATTAAAGGAAGTGAAATAGGAAGGTTTGAGCTGAAATAAGGTGATTTTCGAGCTCAAAATGGGATTTCTGGGCTAGGGGAATCGGTACCCATTCAAGGGGAATCGATCCCCCCTCAAACGAATATGAATTTCCAGAATGCTAGAGGGGAATCGATACCCCCAGGGGGGGAACCGATTCCCCCATAATGAAAAAAAAAGAAGAAGAAAGAAGAGAAACTAAACTATTAATCCCTTAAATTGGTAGGCTATTAGAGGTTAATTTCAAGACTTAGGCATCTGATAATCATCTTGAAAATTATGCTTATGTAGATATTGAACGTGACTTTGCTTCAAAGTAATCGAAGGGTTAGAATTGATTCAATTCAAACAAGGCTAAGGTGAGTGCATGTGCATAACATGATTATGTTAGTATATTCAGCTTTAGAATTGCGATAAGTCTAGATTTAATATCTTGATACATGATTCATTTAATATTATTAAATATGATATGAATTCATACCATATACATTATGGGATATACTATGCAGATTGTGGTAAGTCTATTTTCCAGATTAGAGCTTATATATGAATGAGTTACGAGATATCTATATTAGGTATATGAAGTGTGTGTGCTGTGTTTGTTATGGTTTATATGTATGAATGAGCATATGTATTGACATGTTACAGTATATATATATGATATGAGTTGTGTAAATAGGTAGATAAATGTGTTAAATATGTGAAATAGTTAAAATGATCAATATGATTTCATAAGAATATGAAATAAGAAGTATGAAAAGGACATAAGAAAGAATATGAAATATATAGAATATGAATATGAAATCATATGAGGGGTGACATGAATTATATGAAAATATGCTAGTGTGATGGGACCTAGGAACTAGTATACGTGATATATATACATTTATATAAGTTATTGGATGAAAAATGAACAAGAGATAAAAGAGATGAAGGATAATACTATAGGAGTATGATAAAAACATAAATGATGACATGTATGTATGTATGTAATGGTTATATGAAAAGGTATAGGTAATAAGATGATCATATGAACATGTGATAAAGAGCTATAGAAAAAGAAAAATGTGCTATGATGTATGAATATGTAATAAGGTAAAAGACAATGCCATGATATGAGTTATGAGAACTGTAAGTATAGTTGGCATGCCAAGAGTCGAAGAACTACCTATGTCTTTCGAGACATATGGACAGTATACCTATGTTCTAAGGAACATATGGATAGTTACCGAAGATCTTTATGACCTCTGGATAGTTACCGAGGATCTTTATGACCTCTGGATAGTTACCGAGGATCTTTATGACCTCTGGATAGTTACCGAGGATCTTTATGACCTCTGGATAGTTACCGAGGATCTTTCATTGAGCTGTGGTGACAGCATACGTGTGCACAACCTCATAATACTCGTATACCTTGGATTCTCAATAGTGTATATGGGCTTAAATAAGACATAACGAGGATGTATATAATTGTATCTTAATATGGTATTATTATGATTTATATTGGCTCATATGTGGTATAATACATGATGAGATGATAGTATAATTGTGTTTGGATAGTAGACGACCTGTTTATATTTTAGTAATTCTTTATTATGTAATTATGCCTCACTAAGTCTATGACTTAGCGTGTAAGTGTTTTTACACGTAGGTTTCGAAGAGCAGGAGAATCAAGAATAGGAATTTGCAGATCAACCTATCTCTACTCAGCGATCAGATCAGAAGTAAAGTCACAGTAGGTATTTTGTTGTATGTAGTGTGTTGGCATGTAAGAAAAGTGGTAGTTACAAATGCTCTGATTAGTTTTGTCTTGTTTTGGTTAACTCGTGTACAGTGACAATGTTATTTTAATAAAAGTTTTAAATTTCATTGGTTTTCGTTAAAAGATTAAAGTTTGAAAAGTCAATGTGACACCTCAGACTTGTATCCGGGTCGGATACGGGTTGAGGGTGTTACATTTAATGGTATCAGAGCTATGGTTTAGTCGATTCTCGGCATGAACCGGAGTCCAGAGTGTCTTAAAAAGTGTTCATGCCAATATAGTAGTAAGAACTTCTGATCTGATACGAGTAATGAGTATGTTGTTTAGCTGATAGAAATATTTGGTTATCTCTTATTAGATGTCAGGACAAGATAGCTCTCGGGGTGAAGCGAGAGATGATATATTAGCTGAAAGTAGTAATTCACCTGCCCTGGCCAAGCAAGGTGAAGGACAGGCACCCTTTGGAGTGCCTGTACAAGATCAAAATGTATTCTTCAGGACGTTGGGCATTAT